AAAAAAAAAAAAAAAAAAAAAAAAAAAAAAAAAAAAAAAAAAAAAAAAAATAAATAAATTAAATAAATAAGATGTCTCTTCCTGCTGCATCATCATCTTCTTCTCCTCTTTCTCCTCCTTCTTCTCCATTAGCTTGTTCTTCTTCTTCTCCTTCTTGTTATTCATCTTATTCTTTTTTTAATAAAATAAATATGTCTCCTCCTGATCCAATCTTAGGGACAGCAATTGCCTATAAAAAAGATAATTCTCCTTATAAAATTAATTTAGGTATTGGTGCCTATAGGACTAATAAGGGGACACCTTATGTATTCAAGTAAGGAGAGGAAGGAGACACATTAATAATAAGGAGACACTATTATTATTATATTAATAAGGAGATAGTATAGATAAAAAGGAGACACTTTTTTTTTTTATTAGGTATTGGTGCCTATAGGACTAATAAGGAGACACTTTTATGTATTCATATAAGGAGAGGAAGGAGACACATTAATAATAAGGAGACACATTAATAAGGAGGAGACACTATTATTATTATATTAATAAGGAGACAGTATAGATAAAAAGGAGACACTTTTTTTTTTTCTTAGGTATTGGTGCCTATAGGACTAATAAGGAGACACTAATAAGGAGACACTAGTAAGGAGGGACACTAATAAGGAGACACTAATAAGGAGGGACACTAATAAGGAGGGACACTAATAAGGAGACAGAGAAGGAGACAGATAAGGAAGGAGACAGATAAGGAAGGAGACAGATAAGGAAGGAGACAGATAAGGAAGGAGACAGATAAGGGGACACCTAAGGAGAGAGTAGTAATTATAAGGAAGGAAAAGGAGACACTTAATAAAGAAAAAGGAGACACTTATTATCTTTATAAGGAGACAGGGATAACACAAACCCTAAACCCTAAACCCTAATCCAATACATTATATTATTTGCTGTATCTCTCTTGTGATCTTCTTTTTCTCCTATCCCTTTTTCAAGGTCTAGGGTTTAGGGTTTAGGGTTTAGGGTTTAGGGTTTAGGGTTTACGTTTTTTTTAGGGTTGTAAAAGAGGCAGAGAAGGAAATATTAGAAGATGAATCAATTGATAAAGAATATCTTCCTATTGATGGTCTACCTGAGCTTAAACCTGTACGTCTCCTTGCTGCAGCAGCTGCAGCAGCAGCAGCAGCAGCAGCAGCAGCAGCAGCAATAGCAGCAGCAGGAATAGCAGCAGCAGGGGAAGTGCAGCGTGTCTCCTTTTTTCTGTATTCTTTTGTCCCCTTGTGGCTCCTCATCTCCCTTATCCTCTTTCCTGTCTCCTTAATCTGTCTCCTCCTGCTGCTGTCTCCTTCTGCGGCTGTCTCCTTCTGCTGCTGTCTCCTTTTGCTGCTGTCTCCTTTTGCTGCTGTCTCCTCCTGCTGCTGTCTCCTCCTGCTGCTGCCTCCTCCTGCTGCTGCCTCCTCCTGCTGCTGTCTCCTCCTGCTGCTGTCTCCTTCTGCTGCTGTCTCCTCCTTCTGCTGTCTTCATTTCCTACTGTCTCCTTCAACTATCCCCTTGACCCCCTGCCTGTCTCCTTATACTGTCCCCTTATTATGTCTCCTTTACCTGTTTCCTTTTTTTGTCTCCTTTATCTGTCCCCTTTATCTGTCTCCTTTATCTGTCTCCTTTTTTTGTCTCCTTTTTTTTTTGTCTCTTTTTTTTTGTATAGTTAACCCAGCGTTTGTTATTTGGTGATGATTGTCCTTATATAGAAGAAGGACTCATTGCCTCTGCACAAACCCTATCAGGAACAGGAGCATTAAGAATAATAGGGGAATTTATTAAGAATTATCTACCTGATACAAAAGTAAGAAAAAAAAAAATTAGGGTTTAGGGTTTAGGGTTTAGGGTTTTGAGACTTTTTAGGGTTTAAGGTTTAGGGTTTGGGGTTTAGGGTTTGCAGGGAGAGAGAGAGGTGTTCCAGTTAGAGATTTCGCATTCTTTGAGACTTGAGGGAATATGGACTTGAATGGTAAACCCTTTTTTAGGGTTTAGGGTTTAGGGTTTAGGGTTTAGGGTTTAGGGTTTAGTGTTTTGTGCAGTATGTATATCTTAGTAACCCTACATGGGCAAACCATCATAATATCTTTGGCCCTGGCGTGGGTCTTACTATTCGCGAATATCCTTACTGGGACCCCGTAAGTTATTAGGGTTTAGGGTTTAGGGTTTAGACTATTTTCCTGGGGGAGTGTTTGGTGTTCCCTTACGGGGCTATCTAGGGTTTAGGGTTTAGGGTTTAGGGTTTAGGGTTTGTACTAGAGTGTTTCTTTTCTTTTTTCTGTTCCCTATTACGCATGCATTTTGTGTAGACGGTTAATTGCCCAGAGTGCCTAGGGTTTAGGGTTTAGGGTTTAGGGTTTAGGGTTTAGGGTTTAGGGTTTGTGTGCAGGTAACAAAAGGTGTAGATTTTGAGGGTTTAACTCGTGTACTAAGAGAAGCCCCATTAAGATCTGCTGTTGTATTGCATGCATGCGCACATAACCCTACGGGTATGTATAAATAAATAAATAAATAAATAAATAAATGAATAAATAAATAAATAACCCTAAACCCTAAACCCTAAACCCTAAACCCTAGCCACATATAAATATACAAAGAGAGCCCCATATTTCCCCCAACAAAGGTAAGACAATAGAAAAGAAGCGAATAAAATAAATAAATAAATAAATAAATAAATAAATAAATATAATTAATTAATTAATTAATTAATTAATTTTATTGTATAGGTGTAGATCTAACAGAAGATCAATGGGAAGAAGTAGTGAATATAATAAAAGAAAGGGTTTTATTAGCAATAATAGATGTTGCTTATCAAGGGTTTGCATCAGGGGATATAAATAAGGATATAATATGTATAAATAAATTAATAAATAATAATAATAATAATAATAATAATAATAATAATAATATAAATATAAATAATAATATAAATAAAAAAGAAGAAGAAGAAGAAGAAAAAAAAAAAAAAATAAATTTTTTTATTAGCCAATCTTTCTCTAAGAATATGGGGCTTTATGGAGAAAGGATAGGAATGTTGCATGCATTATGTTGTTGTAATAAATCAGCAATAAATATATTAACTAAGATAAATATATTAATAAGAAGGAATTATAGTAATCCTCCTATACATGGTGCATTAATAGTAAAAAATATATTAATTAATTATAATAAAAGGAGACAATGGATACACGAGCTATATACTGTCTCCTTACGTATAAAAAATATACGTCTCCTTATTTATAATAAATTAATACAAAAGGAGACACCTGGAGATTGGCAACATATTATTAAGCAAGTTGGCATGTTTTCTTATACAGGATTAACAGGTTATTTATTTATTTATTTATTTATTTATTTATTTATTTATTTATTTATTTATTTATTTATTTATTTTATTGTATTTATTTATTTATATATTTAATTTATTTGTTTATTTATTTTATTTATTTTATTTATTATTTATTTATTATCTATTTATTTTATTATTATTTATATTGTCTCCTTTGTTTCCTCTGTCTCCCTTGTCTCCTTGTCAAGGGCTGGAGGAGACACGAAGCAGAGGGTCTTGCTGCTGCTGCTGCTGCTGCTGCTGCTGCTGCTGCTGCTGCTGTCTCTGTTTAGCTGCTGCATGCCTGTATTGTCTCCTTTTGTGTCTCCTTTTGTGTCTCCTTTTGCTGCAGAGGCACAATGCGAACTTCTTACCAGCAAATGGCATGTCTACCTCCTTAAGAATGGCCGAATCAGTATGGTAAGATTAGGGTTTAGGGTTTAGGGTTTAGGGTTTAGGGTTTAGGGTTTAGGGTTAGGGTATATAAAATGTATATAAAAAGAAATTAGACTGTGTATATTGAGGGTTTAGGGTTTATGCAGTATGTATGTAAGATTGAGGCAGCACATCCACGGTCTAGGGTTTAATAATTAGGGTTTAGGGTTTAGGGTTTAGGGTTTAGGGTTTGTGTGTATACAGGCGGGAATAAATGAGGATAATGTTGATTATTTAGTGGAGGCAATAGATGATGTTGTTCGTCAATTACCTTCTTCTTAATGTGTCTCTTTTTTTTGTCTCCTTTTTTTGTCTCCTTTTCTTTTGTCTCCTTTTCTTTTGTCTCCTTTTCTTTTGTCTCCTTTATTATTTTTTCTCCTTTATCTTGTCTCCTTTCTTTTGTCTCCTTTCTTTTGTCTCTTTTCTCTATCTGTTTCCTTATTTATGTTAACCTCTTGCTGCAGTTCCTGCTGCAGTTGGTGCTGCTGCAGCGGCTGCTGCTGCTGCAGCAGCAGCGGCAGCAGCAGCAGCAGCAGCCTGTCTCCGCGAGTGTCTCCTTGTGGGTTTCTCCGTCTGCTAAGTACGGCAACGGGGTGTATAAAGTTATATAGGGATTACTGCTGCTGCTGCTGCTGCTGCAGCAGCAGCAGCAGCAAGCGCTGCTGCAGCAGCAACTGCAGCAGCAACAACTGCAGCAACAAGTTAGTTGTTGCATATATATATAAAGTGTCTCCTTTGTTGTATAGGGTGTTGGTCCCTTTTTTTGTCTTATTTATTTATTAATAATAAATTGTCTCCTTTTTTCTTTGCATGCATGCATGCAACTGTCTCCTTTTTTCTCTGCATGCATGCATGCAACTGTCTCCTTTTATTAGGAGACACTTTTGTCTTGCTGCTGCATAAACTAAGGAGATAATAAGCGCTGCATGCAGTGTATATAAATTAAATAAATAAATAAATAAAGTAATTAGTTAATTAATTAGTTAATTAATTAGATTAATAAGGAGACAGGCAAGGAGGAGACACTTGGCGTCTCCTAAGCAGCAGACACTTAGGAGGCAAATAAAACAGCAGCAGCAGCAACAGCAGCAACAGCAGCAACAGCAGCAACAGCAGCAACAGCAGCAGCAGCAGCAATATTTATTTATATATAATAAAAAATAAATATATATATTTATTTATTTATTATATAATAAATATATAATTTAATTAATTATTTAGTTAATAAATATAAAAAAGAAAAGGAGACAAATTAATGCATGCACATAAGAGAAAAAAGGAGACAAAAGGAAAAAGAGACAAACTGTCTCCTTTTTGTCTCCTTTTTGTCTCTTATATGCCTCTGTCCCCTCCCTATATCTGTCTCCTTTGTCTCCTTTGTGTCTCCTCCCTGCCCCTGTCTCCTTCCTGTCTCTTTATCTTGTCTGTCTCCCTCCCTCTCTTTTTTGTCCCTTTGCCTCTGTGTCCTTCCTGTCTCTCCTCTGTCTCCTTTCTGTCTCCTTTTCTGCCTCTGTCTCCTCTCTCTCTTTCTCCTTCCTGTCTCCTCTCTCTCTGCCTCCTTCCTGTCTCCCTGTCTCCCTTATATCTACACTATCTGTCTCCTTTTTTATTGTCTCCTTTTTTATTGTCTCCTTTTTTATTGTCTCCTTTATTTGTATATAAATAAATAAATAAATAAATAAATAAATAAATAAATAAATAAATAAAAGGGATAAATAAGTGCCAATATCCCTTAGTTAGTTATATATAAGGAAAAAGGAGACACTTATTTATAACTATTATTATTTATTATTATTTATTATTATTATTTATTATTATTATTTATTATTATTATTTATTATTATTTATATATAAAAAAAAAGGAGACAATTTATAATTAATAAAAAACAGTCTCTTTTTGTCTCCTTTTGTCTCTTAATAGAGGAGACTATATAAATAAATAAATAAATAAATAAATAAATAAATAAATAAATAAATAAATAAATATACATATAATATACAATATACATACTATTATATACATAGTATATAAATATAAATATATAAATATAAATATATAAATATAAATAA